CCACCTAGAAGATGACCAAGATATGGAAGGTTGATAACAGTCGCCTTTTTTCCTACCACTAAAAGCACAATTTCTCTCAATAAAATCTGTGCAAAGTTGGAAACCTCCAACTCAACCTTAAATTTGGGTCCTCTCCTTTCTTGGCTATCCTTGGTTTTAAATAGAAATGAAAGGATTCTCTCATCCTGTTTGGGTAGTAAAACTAAGAAATACATAATAACCGTTGGGTTTCTAATAGATGACTTAGATTAAAAAACAAGGGTTTCCAAGACAAGGAGAAGATCTCAATCTAAGTTCTCAACCTTACACTAAACAACTTATGTCTCAATTCCTTCTTAACCAAGAAGATGATATGCAAACATTATGCTTATCAATTGTTCCCACTGGACTGAGAAAAAGGATAGATGGTTTACCATCAACCAATTAAATAGAATTTGCAAGAGAAGGTTCCATCAAATTCTACTTGCCCATGTTCCGGAACCTCTTCAAAGTTAAATTACAGCCCATTGAAATGGAAGAGGAGACCCAAGCCTTAGGCCCCCCTCTTACCAAAAAAATCAAAGAAAAAAAGAAGAAGAAAAATACATGGAAGAGGGGACAACAGATTAGCAATTGAAATTTGGCACATTATAAACAGATGATATTCTAAAATATACAGAAATAAAAACCATAGAGTGATCACCCACCCAAATTTTCCAAAAATCTGATTCTCCCAAAATTTTCAACAACTAATTGAAGAAAATGACAAAAGAAACTAATTCCTTGTGAAATGTCTTTCCAAAGATTTGGACTTTAACTTTAACCTCCACCGCACCTTAAAGACCTACCTACTGGCATCAATGCAATCTCTAGCTCAGATGACTGCATGCCAAAAGAATTTCCAAAAGAATATTTCTCAACAAACTTCGCTAACAAGGCCAATTCTGACCTCCTTATGTAACTAACAAAAAATCATGATCTATATATGGGTCATGAGCTCTCACGCAAATCACGTGCACAGCAATGGAAACACAATTCCTAAATCATGCAATCATGATAATCATGGCTCTATATAAAAAGAAATGTTCTCTTTCAAGATTGAATCTGGACCATTGATCATGTTGATTTTTTCCAGAAAGTGTGGTTCCAAAACATTAGCCTATGTATGTGTGTGTGCATGCGTGTATAAAACGTTCCCACTGATCCGGCATATAGTATTATCTTTCAGATTTAGATAAAGCTTGCATGGAAAACGTAATCATAGTCTATACACACCTTAACCATTGTCTCATGTATAGCAGGTTTGTCAAGATACTCTCTGGCTTTTGCTGCTGCATATGGCTGATCAAGTGCATAACATCTCAGTCTAATAATTACTAGAAAAAACATATCTAATAAAGTAAAAATGCAGCAAAGCATTCTGACCTGTAAGTCTTCATTATTTGTAACAAATTGCACAACACGAAACCATATATCATCACTGACAAAATCTCCAGCTTTGTCAATTAGTTGAAGAATCACATCTACATACCTGCATAATATCAATATGCACAAAAGAAAAAATGGTAGGATCACTATGCATCCAATTAATAATAGGTTTACCAACTTCCCATAAGTACTTTTACTTCCACACATAAGAAAGGAAACTCCCAGAAGATCCAAAAGAAGTACAAATAACTAAATCACAGAATTCACCACCCAACAAAAACAAAATTATTGCAACTTTAAGTTTTTAAATAAGTATATATTATATATACATATAGCAATATGAAAAAAAACTCAAGTCAATTCACTAATCCTAACTAATTGAAAATCGAAATGCAGAATGCATTGTCAGACCAAAAACAAAGAAGTCGGATACATTGATCCTTTTTCACCTCAGTCCCATCATAGGTAACCGTGGAAATAGAAAATGGTAGTTTCAAAGTAAAATGACACATAGAAAGTCATAGTTTTTTCAAAGTAGAAACAGAAAGAGAAGAAGACAACAAGATGATACAATCAAGACCAAAGAGACACTGAGCGTTTTCAAAAGATCATGAAAAATCACTCCACTTGCATAATATCAAACTAGATATATCTTTATAATCCAAAAATGTGTTTAATTTAAACAAGAGTCATTGCAATAGAGATTGACCGTCTACATTAAAAAAATTCTGTGTCTTCGTCTATTATTCCCTGCTTCTCTATTTCTCTTTTCTCTCTGATATTAACTACTGGGATGTGATTTCACCACTCCCCTTTTCTCCACTTACACTCCCTTTTGCTTTTTAATACTTTTTAATCAATTTTGTTATTTCTTTTTCCTATTCTACCCTTACTCTACATTGATTTCTTTTTACTTCACTTTTATATTAGTTCTTTTTCTTTACACTTAATTTTCCAACTTGCACTCCATTTTTAATTTTTTTTTTCCTTTAATCGAGTAAGAAATTAAGTATTTTGTTTCCCTTTAATACAGAAAATGGAGTGTAAGTTGGAAATGAAGTGTAAAGAAAAAGAAATAATTAAAAGTGAAGTAAAAAAAGAAATTAATGTAGGGTAAGGATAGAATAGGAAAGAGAAAGAACAAAATTGATTAAGAAGTATTAAAAAGCAAAAGGGAGTGTAAATGGAGAAAAAGGGAGGGGAGAAATCAGATCCCTAACTAAAATGTGATTTAGAACTACACTTGCTTAATAATTTAGATTCGTATGCCTGTTTTCAGATTTCTCTACTGGTGTATTGGTCCCATGCCCTATCTCGTTCATTGGAGAGCCATGTTCGTTAAAGAAATGAAAAAGGAAAAGAGCAGAATGAGAGCCATGCTTACCATGACAGATCAGGGGCAAATTTTTCGGCAAGAATGGCAGCTTTAAGTGACAATTCCTCACGCATTGCAAAGTCCGCTGTGCTAAGATACTGAAATGCAGATGAAAGTCAGTGGTACCTCATTTTGTGATTGAGAGAGAATAAATGTCTGCTAATATAAAACAAGAGGCAATCTACTAAAATCATATACAACCAAGTAGTACACGCACAGAGTATCTGATGTACCTGCAATAGTTCTTCAACTATATCTTTTGCATTTGAAACATCGCACATACCATATAGCAAGTCAAGAGCACGCCTACGAATACTGAGGATAGAATTTGATGTTAGTGACCCCTTAATGGTGTTAGATGTATAAAACTTGAGCACAAAATATAAGAGTGAGTGTGCTCATAATATCCTTTAAGTATAATAAGAATTTCTTCGTTAGGACAATTAACTTCAGGAAACCGTGCCCAAGAAAAATAAATAAATTTGCAACGTTAATACTATGGGTTAGAGACATGTGCAATGCATGGATAAATGAACTAAGTGATTATAGTACAGACTATAGAGTGAGCATGATGCCAAAATCAAAGAAAAGATGGAATGATTCAATAGATAAAAGATGCTACAAAAAAGGTATGAGGTCATGTAAGCTCCGAGAAACTTGCATATTTTGACGTTTTATTAGTTGTGAGCCCATGGAATCAGGCCAAATGGACCTAGGAACTAGTATTGCTAAAGGATGGCACTGTTATGAATGAAAACAAAATTTCTCTTCTGCTTGTAAACCAAGTACAGCCAGATAACAAATTAACCTGATATCTGGATCCTTCAATGAGGTGATGATCTGAGCCTGATGTCTCTTGATGATATCTTGCACATCCGTCACCATTAACATGCGCGTCATATTTTCCTACACGAGCAATTTCAAATTTATATCATCCAAATTTACAGCAGCCACCTATTTACCCTTCTAAGTTTAGACATACTTCCTCTGCATGCTTCAGTCAGGGATTGTGTTAAAATGAAAATGTGAAAAACCAAAAGATATATTTACTGAACTATTGTTATTCATTTATTGATCCTTAGCCTAATAACGAAGCCAGAATTATTTTTCACCACTTACCAAACCAAGATATCGGATATTTGGTTCTCGCACAGCAATAAATTTTCCAAGCAGTGCAACACACTGAGACATCATTTCCTTTTCAGCATCCAGATGCATGACCTAAAATTGGGCAATAATAACACATAATACATAAGATCCCGCTGCCTTTAAAAAGGAATAGATAAGACACTTGTGTGTGGGCGTGCCCGAAAGAAAATGAAATAAAGTTTCAAACATTTCCTAGCAAAGAAATATCTCCAAAATGATTTCGCCCAGCATGTTATAATCTCAGATGACTGCACAACTCAAATTGACAGAAAGAAGAGAGCGGGAAGAATAATGCAGACGATACCACTTCCACTTACATAGCCTAGCCATTAAATTATAAAAGCCCTTATATGATTCCACATACATGCACGTACATCTCTGTCAACGTATGTACACAGAATATTTTGTTGCTTTCAACGCAAAAGACAAAATTTCAATGGAAGTAAATGCATAAGTAACTAGAAGGACCACTGGAGTTCCAAAATTATAAAAAAAATTATCAGCCAATTAGGGGAACCTATATGCGTGTATAGTTTTAATAAATGGTGTCTAAAATTCATGATCATACATGAAAATTACTGCAGAAAACTTACAAGAGCAAGGGCTTCAAAGAGAACAGCATGCGATGCATTGTTCTTATTAACATTTTTAACAACATCGGTACCCATCAATATCCGTTGTAAGACCTGAAACCACCAGTACAAGGTTTAATAGAAGCATAAAATATAACAGCACAACTGATAATAAGTTCTTGACAGAAAATGACCTCAAACAATGACCGTCTGGTATTTGGATCTTCAACAGTAGGAAAATACTGAAGAGCCCTCATTGTCTTAACCTGTGCAAAAAAACACTTGTAAGAAAAACATGAACTTGTTCTACATTCACCAAATGCTACAAATTTTCCAACAGATTTAAGTGACTTTCCAACACATTTAAGTGATAGAAACAGTGTCCTAGTAAATTGTCCAGGCAAAACAAGAAAATACGAAATATATTCTCAAGAAGCTAAGTACTGGCAGCACTACAAAGATGGTTCAAAGTCATTGGAATTTTAAATCCCAAAAAGTTAAAAAGATCTTGCCTAAAAACTATAGTAAACCAAAGAGGAAAAACTGAAGCCAGAACCAAATTTCCCGGTGTTTAGCATGCTCTAGAAGGTTAGGCTGGTTAGCACAACTAAGGCACCTGATATAAAATAAAATTTAAAAACATATTATTATAAGGCTGATTAAGTTATAATCTATGGAAAAGTAAAATGACAGCATTGACTGCAAATGGTGGAAGCTTTAAAAACAAGTGCAGCAGTTGGCACATTTTTTTAATTTAAAAAATAAAAAATAAAAAGCAAAGAGATAGAGCCATATCAGTTTAATATAGACATGACAAGATTAATCTGTTTCGGAAGGAAAAAGATAAATCAGGAGGCTGATTTTATTTGGTATCCGGAACATACAAAGAAGTCTGACGAATAAAACAAAAAGAAATGTACATATCACAAACCTGAAGCCAGGGAGATGGGATACCATAGTAGGTGTACTCTTGTGGAATATCCTGGTTCCTAGCAAGCCGTTCTAATATTTTAACGCATTTTGGAAGACAACTCCAGTAAGAATCATGGTGGTTTGATACGAGGGCTACTAGAAGGCTCATAGATGATGTCAAAACACCAAGATCGCGTTCATCTAAAAGTTGTGCCATCCGGTCAGCCCTAAAATAAAGGGAAAAAGATAGACCAATCAAATAAGCACGGAAGGCAAAAGTAATGCAAAACATCATGTAGTTAAGAAAGTAATATGCGAACATACCAGCCATCTACATTGACAACATCAGGATTTTTCCTATACAAGCGCAATAGACATAGTGCGGCTTTTTTCCTCACAAGTGGTCTGTAGCTGCTAGAAATCTAAATAAAAAAACTTGGTCAACAACATCATTTTCTATTAATTCGAGCCAAACAGAAAAAAGGATTGCAACTTACAAGTAACTTTTGAACATCAGGTGCTAATGACTCCGCAAATTCTCTCCCACCGATATTCCCAACCTACAAAGTCAAATACAAATGAAATAATGATGGTACATTAGGCCTAATCTAAGAGCTGTAAATTTTTTTACTGAGGACACAACAGGAGAGAATATAAGAAAGACAAAAGAAGAAAACATGGAAGCAACAGGTTTAAAGAAACAAAAACAGAAAGAACAACTTATCCAAATGAAAGATTCAAGATATCCCAAAATCAGATCAAACTACAAATATTATTAAAAGACCTATTCAATATTGACATAGCATATAATCATATAATTCTGGAAGACAAACGCATAAAATAAGATCCCTTTTGATCATTATCACATAGAACTTTAAAATCAAAATGAATAGTATGTTTTGAAAACTGAACAGATATTGTCATACCATGGTCAATGCCAAACACTGGAAAGTCTCGTTACGACCGATAATATCATTGCGCACAGTATTTATCGCTAATCTCAGAAAATCATGGTTCTCATTGAGCAGACATGATGTCACAATGTACCCAACCTGCAGTCAATTAAAAAGTAAGATCCTTTCTCCTGTTTTTTGGACAATGAAGATAAGGCAATATAATGGGATAAAAGAATTAGCTACTGCCATTGAGGTTGATCGCATATTATGCAAAAGTACCGTATTAAAACTATACAGAAATAAAACTGATGACCCTGAGATGAACAACGTCTATCACTGTTTCTGTCCGTTAATGTACAAAAAAGAAATATGATGAGAATGGGTTTACTTCCTAGAATTGCAAGCCATTTTGCCATAAATGCAAGGAAAATGGAAGATAACCAAACTCAAGACTAGTCGTTTTAATATTGATGTGAACAGAAGATATCACCTGCTTTTCTGGATACTTAGGCGCAGATATTAAAGAAACTGCTTCCATGTGACCAAAATCCACATCATAGCCCAGCATATAAATGTAAAGCATTTTCCAAACATACTTCTTCTTTTCATAAGGTGACAAACCCTGTTGAAAGAATTCAATAAAATTTCCATTAACCAGTCACCCTTTTTGGTTTAGCTGTTGCACTTTCTAACTAAATAGTGAGCAAGCAGTAAAGAGTGAGGTATGTGTAAGCAAATGGACGTCCACCATATAAAAAGATGGTACTAGATCATATTTATACAAAACTGATCTATGTCTCAACCTATTTAGTGGAATCTATGCAAAACCAAAGCAAAGACAACCTAAGATTTGTGCGAGATAACTAATGTCAATTTTCATTATCATTAATGAGAGACAGAGAAAACACGCACAAGCAATGAATTTGCTAACAGAGAAACAGCACTCCACCTAAATAACAGCTGCCCGCCAGTCAGCTAAAGTTGCATAACAAGAATTTCCTGAAATTCCGAAGAAAATGGAGCCCATAAAGATGCCCAAACCAAAAACCAACTTTATCCCATAAAATCTCCATCTCCTCTCACCTAAACTATCAAATATCCTCCTATTTCCTCCAGCAAAATTACCTAAAACATAGCCATCTCTCCCTAAACCTTCACCCTTCCTCCTCCTCCAGGAAAATTGGGACACAAAATAAGGCTGTGCAAGGTGCTGGAAAAAGCATCACCAGTAATAACAACACAAAAGGTAGTACACAATACTTGTGCCTAAACAGAGAACAATAAGTTTCACTTGACACCATAGAAGAAGCATCCACAGATAAAGGGGAAAAAAACTTAGAAAGAGTTTCCTGAGATCAAAACTGAATCAAATAATACAATTGCACATCTTTGGTGACCCAACCTAAACCACACAGGTGGCACAACAGTCTCTGGTATAGCGCTAACACAAAGCATCTTCGAGAAAACAATTAATTTCCTAATACCCAATCATTTAAGATGCCAACTTTGCAGTCCAAGAATAGACCATTAAATCCCATGATGCATTAAGAATATGTAGAGAAACTAAACTGATCGCTAACTCAATAAAACTACTAATTCTACCAGGCTGGTTCAAGCACTTGGTTGGTAATGTGACACATAGCATATATCATGAGTGTGCACAAGGAGTAGAAGAAATGAACAATGAGAAATCACCATCACTTAAACTGAAGCCAATTTCCAACAACAACATTGAAAGTAACAAAAAAGTAACAATCAAATACAAACAGTAATGACCCCACTGTCATATAAACCCTAGAATGAAAATAATAACCCATAAAGAATAAACATAATTTTGTTTAGTCATCAAAATTAATTCAATCTAAGACAAGATACTACAGAGAAAGGACTGAAGATCAGTGAGTGAATCGGGGCAGAAGATGCGGGTACATAACAATTTATAAGATTAGAAAAATCTTATTCCTTTAAAGAAAAATGCAAAAAAAAAAAGGGCTTCCCTTGTCCAGTGGTAACCTTGTTCAATACAAACTGTGCCTCGAATTTCTTAAAACTTTGGGGTCTGGTGATGCATGACAACATTTTATAATAAAAAACATGCAAGAGTAAGTTTCAATATATTCATAACTCAAATTTAATACAAATTTAGCTTGCTTGTGTGGCATACCCCTTTCTAAGGAAACACGTCTACATTAACACATCATTTTGCCATTATAGTATTTCAATCATTCCAGGTAATTTCTACCTACTTTTATATCCTTTCAAATATATTTGACAACATATATAAAAATTGAAACAGTCATCAAGTTCCCTTCACATTTGAATTCAGTGATGGACAGCAACAATTCATATTCCAATTACAGGATAGCCCAAATGTGCTTATAGAGAATCTTCAATTCAGCATAAGAACATCTAGGTATAGGTTGTTGAATGGATTCCTTTCAATCTTGGTTTAAATTTTAAAAATGGATGTTGGATGACCAAAGCACCACAAGCAATAGAATTGAAATGGGGGAGCACTGACTCCTTTTAGGTGAAGGATGCCACAACCAAATAAATAGCTACGTCAAGACTATCCTCATGTGTTCTCCAATCTCCCTAGGCACAGAATAGGATGCATTTCCCATCTTATTCACTTCCATAACAAAAATCCAGTTCAATATTTCAAAAAATTGTAGATAACATACACAAGTAGTAACATCTCAACTCAAATTTAATCAGATTCAATGATATCCATCTAAAAGAAAAGCGAATGAAGGTGAACGCCTCTGGTTCATGCCTATCACTTGAAGTCCGTCAACTGAAACTGTAGGAACTAACATGTTCCGTTCATTGAACTATTTATATTAAACCCATGGTATTATAAATCCAAGGAATATATGTAGTACCAAATTCCTACTGCCTCTCCGCAATAATAAGTCCACATAAAAGCCATTTCTAAATAAGCTTGAAAACCAAAAAAAAACCAATGCTGATGCCACCCAACTCTACGCAGATAATCATAGCACTAGGTAACCTTTATTTTCTTAATTATAAATCCACCTCAAGCTAAGTTCACATTTTCAATTCCAATTACTAATACAAAACCCGAAATCACAAAATTTAAGTTTCCTTTCACTTCCCAGACTTTCTCAGCAGCCCAACAAACACCCAAGAAAACCCAAATCCCAAATTTAAGCAATGAAGTCATTCCACCATGGTCTAGATCAAAAACCTCACTTGTCTCTCATCCCCCAAAACTAACAAAAACGAATTTGCAACACGAGAACACAAAGGAAACGCGAAACCCTAACCCTAAGACAAACCTTTTCGTTTTTGAAGCGTGTACGGACATTTCCAAGCTCCTTATCGACCCGGAGCCTCTCCTGCTCTTTGTTCTGGCAATTCCGAATGTCGCTGATGAAAACAGAGAGGCCTCGCATGCCTGACAAAGCCATGACTGCTCAGATCCAGCCCTAGCGAGACACACTCACAGAGAGACAGAGAGACAAAGAGAGAGAGAGAGCCACCACTGCTCAGCTCCCCCCAAATCGTCGAAGATCCTTGTGGGCTTGTATTGGATGGATCTACAGACGAGCAGAAATTGAATACTGTTGGTGAAGATCAGCAGCTCCTCCAATTACAAAATCGCAAAAATGGGTTTGATCTAATTCTAATGCCTCCTTCTTAGAGAGAGAAAGAGAAAGAGAGAAGGAAGGTGCACTGAGGAAATTTGAGAAAAGAAAAGCCGTCGGTCAGTGCTGGAAGGAGACGACTTTTATTCACCGTGCCCAATTGAATCATTTCATTTCATGACATTTTCCACCTAATACTTCTTTGTTTCTTCTTCATTTTCTTCATTTCTTTTTTCATTTTTTTTATATTTTAATGTTTTATTTCTCTTCCTCAATCCTCAGACAGAGGGGCAAAATATAATCACTGTTTTTTTTTTTTTTTTTGGTGGAAAATAATTGCAAAGTGTAATTCAGGTTTTTTAAATTGTTTTTTACTAGCTTGTTAATAATATATATTTGTGCTGTGGGTCTTTACTGTTTTTTTTAATTTACTTTTATTTATTTATTTTTACCTTTTACCCAATGCCCAACTATGCATGTGATTCTTTTACCTTTTACCTTTTACCCAATATGACATGGCTTTTTTTGTCTAATTTTGGATCAACGAAAGGATTTATGATTTACCAACATTTCTATAGATTTAACTGCACTGCCAGGTAGGATTTTAATTTTTAAATTTTCCAAAAATAACTGGTTTCGCTTGCTATTATTAATTCACTGTTGCTACCTGAATTAAAGTCAATTTCTTGCAAGGCTTATTTAGTTCTAAGAATTCAAACAAAACCTGAATAAAGCGGCCCAAAAGTGTTCCATTAATGTCCAACCAGCCCCGTAGGGCCCACTAAATGGAAAGTAGCATGAAAAGGCCCAAATTAATGTTATCGGATAGAATTATCTTGGCAAAACCCAGTTTTGAAATACCCCCACCTTGCGTTATTATGCTTTCATCGAAAAATAACTTTCCTTATAAAAGTTTCTTAACAATTTTTGAAAACAAAGGTAAGCTCCCATTTCGTCATTAAACGTTGAACCATGCAATGCATATTCAGAAAGAACTTGGGTTCCTACACTAGATACTTTGAGTACCAAACCGAGCTATGCTTGACAATGGCGGTAGCCCATCGGATATTGAGCATGTCTATTTGGGCGGTAATCAAGTCGAATAGAGCGGTCACGAGTCCTTAAACCTATTATTTTTCAGAGTAAAATCTGTGTTTTTAGTCAATATGTTTTGCCTCAACTCACATTTGGTCTCACAAGTGCAGAGAAAATAACCCACAAATTAAGGTTACTTCATCAAGATACTAGATCAATTTCCATCACAAATGTAGTTGCTTGAAGCATTACGGGGAGATTTTTATTTTTATTTTAAGTAATAAAATAGACATCAACAATTGCGATCCAAAAATGATGAGATATCCGTTTGATTGGCATTCACTCCATCCATCTACCAACAAAGGAACTCCATACAGGCTATTGCCATTGATCATAATCATATAAAAAATACAGACGAAATGACTTGGTAAGTTTTGGATTAGACCTAGCTACAAATCATGTATTTGTACGTGTATATCATGTGGAAATTAGCTCAACCCAAACACAACTCATTTAGTTAAAAAACCACAACCTGATAAAAAGAAAAAATAATAAGCGCAGCGTGGGTACAATGTTGGGTGATGCAAACAAATCAAAGGGTGTCTTCATGGCATTGGGAAAAATGCAGAAGCTGCCACTAGCCACAGTAGCTGTGAATCCATGGTAAATGACAGTCTTACCAGGTTTTCATGTGGCAGTCACTGCAACAAAGATGCACAGCACAGTGGCAGTATCGTCAATTCGTGGGGTTTATGATTACTGTGGTTCAGTGAAGATAGAGGTAGATGAGAGGCAGATCACACGATGCATGATCATAGATGGTTCACAATCAAATGACACCAACTACAAATACAAAAATTTCGATGGTTCACAATCAAGATCAAGACCCATTATGAAAGCCCATCTTTGTGTCGGTTGCATTCTCATTCACACTCTCCTTCATTTTAGGATATTGAGCCACACTCTTCTCATTGAATCTGACATCTTGATGAACATCCTCCACCAATCCAAATTAGTAAACCGAGCAACCTCCACGCCCTCTTGTTATCTCAAGCGGTAGCCACCACCCTAGCTACTCAAACATTAACCTTTATGTCTTCGAATACCTTCAAAGTATGTTTCAAATAAATTTCTACACTTCGAGTAAATCCAAATAACTTCTAAAAATTCACTGAATCTCCACTTTTGACCCCTAAATATTTTTCTTTCACACAAATGGCACCAACTAAAAATACAAAAAATTTGAGGGTTCACAATCAGGATAAAGACCCATTTATGAAAGCCAATCTTTGTGTCGGTTGCATTTTCATTCACACTCTTGTTCATTTTAGGATATTGAGCCACACTCTTCTCATTGAATCTAGGAATGACAAAAATCCCCATCTTGTTGGGTCCCCCGCCTTAACGGGGGAGATTTCGGGGGAAAACTGGAACAGGTAAGGGGATCCCCGATTTTTCAAAATACCCGATAGAAGACAGGCTGAGGATGGTATTGTTATTCCCATTCCCAAACTCGGGTTAGTTATTAAACATATAATACAATATAACAAATAAAAAGTTACCCAAAACAATTACGTGCTGAAATTGACATAAACTTCCATTTGTCTGTGTTGTACTATACCCGCACTTTCCTTGACATGCTAAGCTAGTTTTTTTTTTTTTGGGTCGAATCAGTTAAGCTAGTTTAGGCTTATATTGATTTTATTCATTTCCGAGGAAGATTTAAGCCCGTCAAATAACTTGAACTAAATTTAAAGCTTGTCCAGAAAATACTTGTATAGAAAGTTTAACTGACGAAACACTTCCAGCATGCCGGAGGTGCTTTTGATTAGGTTTTTAAGTACTAAATATATAATATGATATAATATAACAATTAAAAAGCTACCCTAAACTGTGGACTTATTATTTTTTATTATATGATTTTATTAATTTTGTTAAATTAACTTGAGTGCTATAATATAGATATTTTTTTTTTTTTTTTTTTAAAGTCAGGGATTCGCGACGGATTTGGGATATGGAGACAGGGACGGGGATTCCTTGAAATTTCATACAATTTTCCGACGCCTTGATGAACATCCTCCACCAATCCGAACTAGTAAAATGAGCAGCCTCTACGCCCTCTTGTTCTCTCAAGCAGCCGCCACCACCCCAACCACCATGAGCCACCCTAGCCAACTCAAACATTAACTTTGGTTTAAAAACAAATGAGAACGGTTTCTGAAGCAAACCAAAAAAAAAAAAAAGAGTATCAGAAGAATGTAGTGGGTGGTTTTCAAGTTTTCCGAATTGATTAAAAAGTAACTAGTGATTAAGAAAACTATTAAACTGATGGGCAGGATAATGAATTGAGTTTTGAGAAACAAGTGATTACTCAGACTCGGAACGCGGATGGTCCAACTTAAATAAGCCAGAGTCTAGGTCCAATTTTGAACTTCAAGAAAGAGAAAGCTTTCATCGATACTCAAAAGCGTTTTAGGGGTTTCTGAAGGGAACCATCTTTGAACGTTGGCTCGCACAGACTGACTCGGAGACAGTAAAGATGACGACGACGATGATTATGCGGACATCTGCTTCTTCTTTATGCAACTATTCCTGGTCTGCAATCTAGATCTAGGATTTTTTTCTCGAAAAATCACTTGGGTTTATTTCATGGTTCTTCTCAGTCCTCGAACCAAAACCCAAGCAAATCTAAATCTAGAGACCCCCAACACCCATTTGATGCACTAATCTTGGGTATGCATCGAATATGTTCGATAAAATGCTTAAACAGGGTCGTCGACCTTCTGTTGTCCGCTTCACTCAACTATTTGTTTTTTGTTTTTTGTTTTTTTTTTTGGTCAATCACTCAACTATTTGTTAAGTTGCGAAATTAAAGCATTACTCGGTGGTCATATCTTGGTATAAGCAAATACTCTGTTGGGAGTTGTTCCTGATGCCTTTATTTTAAACATTATCGTGAATTGTTTTGGTCGTTTGAACCAAATGGGCGCTAGTTTTTCAGTCTTGGCACTATTCTTTAAATTGGGGCTTCAACCAGATGTCACTACCGTCAACACTCTAATAAGGGGCTTGGGCCTTGATAGCAGAGTTCATGAGGCTGATGCACTTGTCCGCAAAATAGCCTTTTTTGGAGAAGGATGTAAGCCCAATGCTGTTACTTTTGGTACGTTAATAGATGCTTCATGCAAACCAAGGCAAAATGGCAGGGCTATTCAAATGCTTAGGTTGATGGAAAAATATGACTGCCAACTTTATGTAGTTGTCTACAGCACAATAATCGACAGCCTTTGTAAGGACCAACTTGTTGCTGAGGCCTTCAAGCTCTTCTCAGAAATGGAAAGTAAGGGTATTCCCCCAAACATCGTCACCTATACGTCTTTGTTTCTGGGTTTATGCAAATCATGTCCGTCGGAGGCAACACAATTCTTCACAGAGATTGAGGAGTAAAGGTATCTCTCCAAACGTTCAAACCTTCAGTATCCTAGTTGACTCTTTGTGTAAGAACGGAAAGTTGAAGGAAGCTAATCAAGCAATTGACTTAATGACTGCTATAGGTGTGGAACCTAATACTTTTACTTACAATTGCCTCATGGAGGGTTATTGCTTGCATAGAGATATGAACAAAGCAAAAGGCATTTTTGATCTAATGCTTAAGAAGGGCTCTATTGTTGATGTTTTTAGTTATACTATATTGATAAATGGATATTGCAATAAAAGAAGAATGAAGGAAGCAATGCATTTGTTTGAGGAAATGACTCGTAAGAGAATGATTCCAGATACGGTTACTTATACGACACTTATTGGCGGCTTTTGCAAAGACAGAAGAATAGATGATGCGCAAAACATATTCTCAAAGATGAAAGTTGGTGGTCCACTTCCAAATATTTCTACTTATAGTGTTTTACTGGATGGACTGGGTAGAAACGGCCATATTGATATGGCTTTGAAATTCTTTGGAGAGTTGGAATGCAGTAACGTGGATTTTGGTATCAGTCCCTACAATATTCTTATTGATGGTTTGTGCATGGCAGGAAGACTTGAATCTGCACGGGATCTCTCTCGCAGTTGACCTTCAAAAGGACTAAAACCAGATGTCAAGACTTATACAATACTGATAATTGCTCTTTCTACTAAGGGCCTATTTACTGAAGCAGAAGCATTGCTTAGAGGAATGGAAGAGAAAGGCTGTTCCCCAGATTCTGTCACCTACAACACAATTATCCAGAGATTTCTTCTTAATGATGAGCTATCAAGGGCACAAAAACTTATTCAAGAAATGGTGGCCAAGGGTTTCTCTGCAGATGATTTAACAACGACAATGATAGTTGACTTAATTGATGAGGGCAAACTAGATACTGATTTGCATCCAGTGGAAAAAAAAAAATCTGAGTGAATTTCATTTCCATCTTCAAATGAACAAGAACTTTCTGATCCAAAAAAGAAAAAAGAAAAAAGAAAGAGGAAATGAACCAAAACTTTGTAGCGAGGTGGAGATTCTAGTTTGAGTGTGAAAACTAGTTTAAGTGATGTGTTTTCATTTTGAAGCAGTCTTATCTCAGTGAATTTAATTTGCATCTTGAAATGAACAAAAACTTTGTAGCGATGCGGAGATTCTAGTATTTTGAATGTGAAAACTAGTTTATGTAGTTCTTGCGGAATGTCTTCATGTATTGTGGGAGTTTCTTGTTTTACGAATTTTCCTTCCATTGTCTAATAAATTTGCAAAACTGGTGTTGTGCTTGACCTATTTTCTTTGCTGCTATACTTTAGGTATTAGTTAGTTTATTCACTTTGGACCCTATTTAGGCATATTGTATACCTAGATTTTATTTATTTGAGAATTAGCTTTTGGATAGTGTTCGATCCCGGCAGTATTCTGCAACTTTTCTCTCTCTCTCTCTCTCTCTCTCTCTCTCTCTCTCTCTAAACTGATTGCTTGTTATGTATATCATGCCCCTTTATCCAGAATGAAACTTTATCTTGAAAGTAAGGCTCTTAAACACCGAATTGTTGAATTGATAACAATTCGATGATTAACTTTGTATTAAGGTCCAGGCTGTTCCTCTATTGGTGGAGGTGCCTTTAAAGAGCTGGGTTCATTTTATCCTACAGGTGATGGTAGAAGCCTCCAAAGAAATTCAATGTCATGGAATTGAGGTATATCATATATTACGTTTAATGGACACATCAGTTTTCCTTTTCTTTTCTTTTTTTGGAAAATATAATATGCACTGTTTCACAATTCACTATTGGAACCCTAAATTATGTCCCTTTTTTTGCACATGTAGCATCAAATCTCCTCTTTGTTGAGTCTCCTGCCGGAGAAGGATGGTTAAGGTTATACTCGAATACAAGTTCGGATTATAAATCTGGCGATGCATCCACTGGTAAAGTCAATAGCTACGTCTACTTCTGTTTCTTTTCACTGATTCTAGTATGTGGTTATTATTTTGTAATTGCTATAGAACTTAGCAATCAGATTTTCAAAACATATTTTCAGTTTGATTTGATCCAATCTCGTTCTCTCTATTTTGCAGCAAGGGATATGCACACATTCCTGTTGAAATGGTATGAGAAGTTTACTTTTGCACGCTTACTGTCTCCAAGACCTGTCATTTGGAATCGGTTTTTACCATCTCTGCTATATATTGGACCATATGTTCCAGCAATACTTGTGTTCTCATGGATTGATTTCTTATGAAAGTGGCCTTACTATCATGAATGAATGCGATTTTGATAATTATGTCTTTCCAGAACCTCAAAATGTAACGGTTCAATGCAATCCTGCAATATCTCAAGCAAATAAAATAGTTGGTGAGTACGTGATCGTTGATGTTTGTTGTCCGTCTATAGTGCAGCAAGAGTTGAGACTGCAGAAAATGGTATAATATATACTTCTTTTTTATTTAGTTTCTGTTTTTCTTTTTCATCTTTCACTTTCAAGCAACTCGTCATTTCATTGTCGCAATGAGTTTTTCGTTTACTCCCATTTTCTGCAGGCTACTAAGATAAGTGTTGGAGGTTATGCATGCATGACCTATGAAAGACGTTCTTATTTGAACCTTTCTGAGATTCAGAAAGCCGTTCATACAAATCGTACAAACTTCGTTATAGTTGGAGTATGTGCAGTAAGTAAGTGATAAAAACAACCTTTCCTAATCAGACTATTTAGCTAATTATTCTTTTACATCTTGCATATATCTTTTGACTGAACTTCTCATTCTTGCATCGTACAGTGTTCTTAATTACGGTGATACTGATGGTTACATCGTACGGTGGTCATTAACATCTCTGTTGGTTTTTCTTTCTTGAATTGCATATACATTTGCTGCAAAACGAAAGTGGACTTTATAACAACAAATTAAGCAGGCCAGAGTTTTTGTTGAAAGTTGAAGTCAACATTCAGATACCAAGAGTAATGCTTGGTGGACTGGATATTTCCATATAAGCCTAGATATGATTTATTTTTTCTTTTGGGTATATAGAATCGTAAAGAGTTCTTGGTCAAATAGAACTGCTTTCTTCTTGCTAGTACATCTGATATTTGGTCTCTCTAGAATTTGTTTATGCAAGCTGATATTGGATTTGATTGCATATGCTTACTGCTCTAATAATGGTTAATAGAAGGTTGAAGGTTCGCATGAAAACATCAAAAGGTCACATCTGTTATAATATTTTTTTTTTTGGGGTTATAATGGGTTTTCTATATTCTTTTTCCTTTTCTTTTTCAATAGATTTATGTGTAATATTGGGTCAAAATTTATTATTAGAAACCTAGAAGTGATAATTGATGGGCAAATTTCATCTTGAATTTAGAATGACAATACTTATGTGTTTGTTTATCAAAAGAATATCAGGACTAATATTTTTTGTAATGTGAATGAGTTTAAGTATCTCAACCCCTTATAAGCCATTATGCAAGACCTCACATTTTCAATGTGAGATCTCGATGTGAGATCTCTCTCAATACGCCACCTCACGTGACATTATTTAAACCTTAACAATGAACAATGCATATTGAGTTACGTGGGAGTACGCGTAATTATTAGACACATAGTATGGTCTGATACCATAAAAGGCAATTTTGCAAGAACTCACATTTTCAAAGTAAGATATTTCTCTCAACATTAGGCGGGTATCATCAAAATGATGCAAAATTAAGATTGTTTTCAAAACCTAAAATAGAAACAAACCAAATTCACATTATATAATACCACAACGATGTAAAATTAGATACCTTTTTATGAGCCAAACACATAGACAACTTATATTGGGTGAAAGCATGTGTGGACGAACATGCTCTGATCTTATAAGAATTTAGGCATCCATCTCAAAATCAATTGAATAGGTAGAATAGCTCAAGGCACTTGTAAGATTGCTAAAGCACAGTACACAACTTTAATAGGAAAAATGAAGGAAAAGTAACCCCCTCACCCCCCACCCAATTTCACCCAAAAAAAAATGAAGGAAAAGAAGTTTCTGAAGCACAGCTAGCTTCTATATGGAGTGATTCTTAGGGTTTAAGCATTGTGTAAAATAATTTAAAATACCAAATACGTTTAACCAATTCAGGATCTAATTTATCCTTAGACAATAAATCAACTACCCACTTCATGATTGAATCATCCGCAGAGAAACCCATGTCTGCCATTTCTTGAACAAGTCTGAACGCCCTTGATGTCTCTTTATTATTGATACACCCTCGGATAAGTGTGTTGTAGGTGTAGCCATTTGGAGAACAACCTCTCTCCTTCATTAGTGTAAGTAAGTTTTCCGCTTCACTAATTCGGCCCTTGCTACAAAGTCCGCTAATCATTACCGTATACGTCCTGACATTAGGTTGTCCTAAATGAGTAAAGATATGTGTCCTGGCATTAGGATGTCCTAATTTGGTAAAGGAATATGAGGGCGCGTCCTCCAGCATTTTACTGAAAAGTGCTGCTGCCTCAGAAATTCTATCCTCCATAACGAAGCCCTTGATTAGAGTGTTGTAGGTGGCAGCGTCGGGTTGAAAACCGAACTTGAACAACTTCGCCAAGACCGATAAGCTACAGCCCATTTGGCCCAGATGACAAAAGCAGTTGATCATAATGTTTAGAGTAGAGACATTAGGAAGAATTGGCAACAGATCCATTTGCTTACACAAAGAGATGGCAGCAGAATAATGTTTCAGTTTCGCAACTTGACCCAATAATGGATTGAAATCGACAACTGAAGGCAGAGGACGCGTTTGAAGCATCGAATTGAACAAATTCAAAGCGTCCTCAAGATCAGTGATTTCGGGTGAGTTTGAGTTGCTCTCAAAATGCCGAGCCTTGTATATGTTTTTATATTTTCTTCGCTCTAAACATTGAGAATGAAACAAAGCCCCCAAGTAATTGTTGAAGAAAACACTAGATTCAAGAAAAGGCAAACCTCCTCTGTGTCTGCGTAGGTTGCGATAAGCAGAAGCAGATCTCCACATCCTCATAATCATCTTCAGCGTCTCTGAGTCTGAAGCTCAAATCTTCGGAATCTGAAACCCACCTGCGAGGGTTTCGCCTCTGTTATCCTGGTTTTCGTCGCGGCAGTGCGATCTCTGAGCAGGTAGAGGTGGAGGAGAAAGAGGGAGAATAAGGTAATTTGGTGCCGGCCCGAGTACGGCATGAACACGGCCTAATTAAGTAAGGCCTCACACAGCATGATCCGTATTTTTGAACGGGGCAAAATAAGGTAATTCGGCATAATGAGTTGGGTCAACCTGAGGCTTGTGATGGGCCGTGTTGGTCCGAAGCCCACTTATACAATTATATTTATTTATTTTTTAAACACGTAATATTATTATATTTCTATCTATTTCTGATATTTAATAATATACATATATATATATATTAAAATTTAATGTTTTCTTTATAAATAAAATAGTGATTTTGTTTTTTAAGTTTCAATTTTTAAAATTCAAACAATAATCTAGTCATTTTCTATTTAAAAGTACTTCAAATAAAGTTATTGCATTTTTTACAACAAATAATAAATCTTATTAGTATGTACATAACATAATCGTAAAAAAGATTTAAATGAAGTTTTTGGTCAATATGTTTTGCCTCAACTCACATTTGGTCACTGTTTAATTTTCCAATTTTAGTCGTCGTGTTTTAATCACATTTTAGCATTTATCTCTTTCTTTTGATACAAGAAAGTTCAAAAAGAGAGAAGAATGCTCGAACTGTTGTGGCTTAAGGCGTTAAGGTAAATGGTTTATACACTACAAGCTCTCACAAGTGCAGAGAAAATAACCCACAAATTAAGGTTACTTCATCAAGATATTAGATCAATTTCCATCACAAATGTAGTTGCTTGAAGCATTACGGAGATTTTTATTTTTATTTTAAGTAATAAAATAGACATCAACAATTGCGATCCAAAAATGATGAGATATCCGTTTGATTGGCATTCACTCCATCCATCTACCAACAAAGGAACTCCATATAGGCTATTGCCATTGATCATAATCATATAAAAAAATACAGACGAAATGACTTGGTAAGTTTAGGATTAGACCTAGCTACAAATCATGTATTTGTACGTGTATATCATGTGGAAATTAGCTCAACCCAAACACAACTCATTTAGTTAAAAAACCACAACCTGATAAAAAGAAAAAATAATAAGCGCAGCGTGGGTACAATGTTGGGTGATGCAAACAAATCAAAGGGTGTCTTTAAGGCTCTGCCACAAGCCAGTGACTGTGAATCCATGGTAAATGAAAGTCTTACCAGGTTTTCAATTCAGGGAATCGGGGGTTTATGATTACTATGGTTCGGTGAAGATAGAGGTAGATGAGAGGCAGATCATAAGATGCATGATTCATGAACACAAGGCATTGTTTCTTATCACTAACATAAGCAATATATTATCAAGCCCCCAGCAAAATGATCTAGCCCCCTCCTTTTGGGGGTGATCTATAGCAGACTAAATCTGAGTCAAAAATATAAAGAACATACACGACCATTCAGCATTTGAGAACCGGAAGCAAAATCTGTCACTCTATAGTTGGTAATTAATTAGTATGCATTGCTGCTGCTATTGCACTCCACTCAATTTAGCCCAATCTACGAATTGCATACCGCCGTAGATATTGTTGGCAAATCGTACACCTATGGTAAATGCCATTGCAACAGGTGGCACACGCTTTGCCAACGGTGATGCTTCAACAAGCCCTTCCAGACCGTTTACAATCTGGTAACGAGTGTTGGACGAGACAGCAAGAAAAACACCTGATTCAGAGAGCAAAACAATTAGCGTAACAAGTGGACAGAGGTTGTACTACGTACTACATCAATGTTATCTTTTAGTGCAAGCACGCTAGAAAATAACGTTATAAAGAAAACTGTATTGTGAAGTCAAAAGTATTGAGATCGACTCCATTTACGATATCAGAAAAAAGGAATCAAATGGCAGAAATATACTGTGCTCTTCGTTTTAAGTGCAGATTGCAGAAACAAAGGTTGTGCGCAAGCATCATATAAAATAACATTCCCATATCATAAGATGCGTATCACATTAAACAGAAAATGTTATCCTGGATAGCCCATCCTACAGGAATAACAACTAAGGCACTGTTTGTTAATATACATGTTTATTTGACACACATACATACTTATCAATTACAATGGTTTAAGTATTTTATTTTTATAATTTAGTCAAGAAATCAAATTTATGTATGTGCAGAGTATTTTTATTCTAGAAAAAAGCTCTCTAAATTATGTTCTAAACGAGCACCAAGGCAAATAACCACCACTAATTATTTATGGAACGATCAAATTCCATGCTTAAAGTTAAGTTTCTTTACTAAAAACTTTGAAGTTTCATTCGGATTTATCAAACCAGAACAAGGATCTGATTTATTTGTTCAATTATGTTTATGTATTCTTCTAGTTTAGATTTTATTCCTTGATGTCAGTACGAAGACAGAGCCGTTTGCATAATAAATGGACAAAAGTAAACAGTGCAATGACTATAAAGGTTTTAGACTTCACAAAAAAATAAAAAAACTTGATGAGGGGAATAATTGAAATCAGAACAAAAAGAACAGGACCTACCCCAAAGAGCAGCACTTTTCACAAGAGGCGGCACAGGTACGTCCTCTTCTGACTTCTTTATGCTCCTGATGAAAAAAAATATATATGAGAGAGAGAGAGAGAGAGAGAGAGATATATATATATATATATATATATATATATTACAGTCAGATTCCTTCTATTGAGGGATCCCTCAAATAAATATTTGAGGGATACCCTTAAGGGTCCCGTACGAATTTTTTTTCAACGATCCAAACCATCGATTTTTTAACTCTACATTCATAGATCATCCTAGCAAAAAATTAGACAAATCGGAAACCGTTTCGATATCCAATTATGTCCAACAAAATCAATAAACATGGTGCTTCAAGAAAGTACTAAAATTTCAATAATTCAATTGAGTGGTCAAATGATATCGGATTCAAGTGATTTTTTGTAGAGATGATCTTTGAATGAGTATCTACAAAATAGACGGTTTGAATTAGTGAAATACAATACGCAGTGGCCCTTACAAAGGTGTCCCTCAGATAAGCTTATTTGAGGGATCCCTCAATATATATATAACAGAAACTACCTGACACTTCAAATATTCGAAACGACCAAAAACCCAATTCAGGTTTTTCAGTATAAATTACAAAGAGGGAAACAACTAGAAAAAGATGCATAATTTGAATGCTGAAGAACGGATTACAATGGGAGGGTCGTATGCTCCTTAGTGATTTATGTTCCCAAGACACTTTTTTTCTCACTAGCTTGGCAGGCAACATGATGAGTGTTTCATCAATGAACTTGATGGTAAAATAATATTCATGCATGATTCTAGTAGAAGTTCCATTCAATGTATTCTGAAGATAATCAAGTTTTGCACCTACATTTAAACGACTTAAGCCCCCTTTCCCTGCAGGTCAGGAAAAGACCTTCATCTAACCAACTCACTCTGATATTAATTTAAAGAAAATAAACAAAATTTCATTTTCTGGTCAACCTGAAGAGGTGGTAGATGAGCCTGAATGGAAACAAAAGAAAATGTACCTCTCAGTGATTTCAAATTATTCAAAATTCAAGAGGAGAATGAAATCACATTAAATCTCAGGTCTCATGTGTTTCCCTCTCTTTCAAGTATATAGAAGTATGCGTACTTAAAAGATACATTTAACAGTGGATACCAACCAAGAGAGACTAAGGTCTGGCAAAAAAGGGAGAAATACTGTAGAAATTATAAAGATAGAAAAGCATACCGTTTGGCATTCATGATAAGATTTGCAATTCCTTGTCCAATAAGACCACATACAAAGCCAACTGATCCATACAACACACCCTGGACCAACACGTACCAATCAATTAAAGGTAAACATAGCACAACTAGAACCCGGATTTGGGCTGTAGAGAAATAAGAATGGTACAGGAAACTGGTAAAGAAAAAAGCGCGAATCATTAAACAGGAATTTCGTTTAGAAACTAAACAAAAATTAAAAAAACTCCATCCCTCGATGGGGCATTCTCTTCAATATTTACAACCCAGAGGGCACCTAACCAATAATAACTTGTCAGTTGCATAAGAGGAAGAATAAGACAACATTAATATTAAGATATTGTACCTTATAGAAGTATGTGGCTACTCTCTGCTTCACTGAGAATTTACATCCCGGCCTTTCAGCTTCAAAGACACTGCATATGAGGAATAGTGTACAGTGATTAACTTATTCAAGATCATCCAAAGCTTCACGAAGGAAGAATGCTAGAAAGAATCATTGGTTTGAAACCAACTGTGGGAGATACGATAAGAACAAAGTTAAGAGGTCAGAAAGAAGCAGCCCTGAGTCCCACATTTGGAAAAGTGACTGCTAGTTAGTCATGTGGTTTCATCATGGGGGCCACATGTGGGCCTACAAATTATTGGAAGCACCGAAAGAGTAATTAAAGAATAATGATGGGAAACAGCATCTTTCATCATCTTTCAATGAACAGAGACAATAAGATCAATATCCTTCTTCATGTTATCAGAGATATATTGCGGATACTCCCCTATTTCAAAGTCACCGAAAACCCTTTTATACTGAGTCAAGTATCTGGAAGCAGACAAATTCAGTATCAAAATGTAACTGGATCCTCATTGTACTAAACCATGCAATGAGGTTGTGAAAATAATAGCTAACGTTTAGTTCTAGCAGATTTGCAATGTGGAAAACAATGACATCAAAAGAAGATATAGAGAAATTTTAGGAGCCAACAATAGGTCTGATGCATACAAATGATGATGATCGTGCATCCAACAAGAGAGCCTATCTAACCATAGGAGGAACCAAAAGATACCAATTTATGCTGGTCAACATAATTGGATAAGAAACTTCGACAATAACAGTTTCTAGATATCAAAGAAGAGCTGAATGATGAAGAAAGATTCATGATTTCCAAAAATTCATCACAAGGTCCTTTTTCCACTGGGTATATGTCCTATTTTTAACATTTCCAATGAAATTAATTAAAAATAGAAAAGAGGCGACTGGTAAGATGGACTAAATTAGGGGTAAATAATACAATATCAATACTTGTTGAGCTCTTGCCACACCCAAGTCAAGCGCAGTAATTATGGACATATTATATAAGATAAAATTCAGCAGAATATTAGTTCCTAAATTGCTGCCTTGCAGTGCTAACCTGCTAGGAAGGGCCGCACAAGCATGTTGCAGGCGTCCAAATAATCCTCCTGATACTGATGGCTTTCCAATTCGAGCATAGGGTGCCAACATGCCAACCAAAGCAATGTCAACAACTATTCCAACCAAAAGATCAGCAGCGTACAACTCAAACTCAGCCCAGAAATCCTTTCCCCTTTTCTGAACTTCTGCAAATGTTGCACAACAAGAATCTATGACTATCTGCATTACAAAAGAGTCGAGGAAGAGAAATTTCTTCAGTATTCGCCAAGATCAACAACTATCAAATGTAATGGTCCAATTTGAGGGCAAGGTATATTTAATGGAATTCATAGGACTATCACCAATGCAAACAATGACCCACAAACTCAATTACTGATATTTACAGTGAAAAATGCAGAGCTACAATTCTTTCACGAGCACTAATGATTTACAGTCCCTTGACTTGAAACACAAATTACTCAAAAACAAGATTTACCAAAAAGAAAGATCACGAAAACAAACCTCTGTCCCAACTTTAAAAAGAAAGGAAGGATCAGCCAGCATACGATTTCGTAGCATAGAGCAGTACTTCATCAAAAAGCCCAGTGGCCAAACTGACCCCTGAAATTCAAATATTTATGTGTGTGTGTGTGTGTATATATATAAATTAGAAACCCAATAAGCAACTTAGCAAAAACCATATATCTGAAGATTTTTCAAGAGAAATGGAGACCAAAGGCAAAACTTTAAACCTGCAAATCCAAGTAGCGTTGAAGAAACACTTCCCGAAGCCCAGTAGCCTTCGCAGCCTCAACCATGTCCTGAGGAAGCTTCACGCCCCGAGCTTCACTCTCCTTCATCACCTCATCAAACTTCAACAATGGCCCAAACTCATCTCCCTCCCCACCCTTATCACCACCATCTCCTTCTCCTTCTCCACCTCTTCCTCCACCGCCAAATGAATCTCCACTATCACCACCATCATTGCCTCCATCGGAGCCATCTATTCTCGGCTCAGAAACCCTAGCTTCTGCCACCGTGAAATTACCATTCTGTCCCGCAACAAAGGTCGTCTCCGATCCTGCGCAATTGAGATAGAACCGGCGGTTACGAAACGAGGAATGGCGTGAAGCCACCAGCTTTAAGGAGTTTGTGAGCTCGAAATGGAGTTTAGGGTTTTGGGGACATTGCAGAGGAATTCTAAATTCGGGGACGGCGTTCGAAACGACGGCGTTTGGGAGGTGGGAATGCGATGGTGGTGGCGAGCAGACTGACATTGTTCGTAAGTTACGAGCACAAAAGCGCAGAGAAGTCTTTTCGACCCAAAAAAAACAGCGAAGAGAAGTCCCAAGAAAATTTGACCGAAGGGATTGTTATTACGTGCGGTTCTGTCCATGGAAATGGAGCACGTGTCAACAGGTGAATGGCTTTCAAAACATTTTTCTTTTTTGGGCCGCTATATATAAGTTTTAGGAAATTAAAATGAAAAATTGAAATCGTCGCCTGAGAGATTCGAACTCTCGCGGGGAAACCCCATGTACTTAGCAGGCACACGCCTTAACCACTCGGCCAAAGCGACGGTTGATGTTTTCCTTACAGTGAGATGCTTACTTATTTGCTTTCTTAAAACTTAAAGATAACGAAAAACAATAATATATGAACAAATAAAGGAATATACTGTTTAATATTTACTAAAGAAAGTTTAAAAAAAGTATTATTGAATGCTGAGTTTATGATATTGGAATTGAGAATTTCAAATGTTTGAACACTCATAAGTAATAAAATGTTGGGCTTGAGTTGAACTTTAGTTATCTCAAAACAAAATTCTCATTTTCTCCGAAATTTTACAAGTTAGATGTGGTAATGAGTGGAAATCAAGTTATGCATATTATCCCCTACTACGAATACTAGGTAACTTTAACCCAACTAGTTTACTTGATTGTGGTAGATATCAATATTTAGTTAACTCATTTATTTACATGTTATAACGATTTGACTCGCATATTATAAACTAAAAACTTAAAGGCTATATTCCTTTTATTTTAAATCAAACTTGTCACTCATACATTAATCATAAAACAAAACCCACATAATGCCCATGCAAACAAAATCATAACCTTACATGCTTCTCATCAACTACCTTTTCTATCTTGTCACATAAACTTCTCACTCTCCCATCAAACACCATGCTTTACCAAAATTATTTGAAAAGTAATAGGGATTAAGGCAAAGCATAGCACCATAATAAAAAAAGAGCACAAAAGAGAAATTACTTGAATTTGAACATTATATTTATAGTCTCATTAGTGAGACCATTCAAACACGTCCATGTCTTACCTAGATAGTGATCAAATAAAATTGAGAGCTTACGTCGTGTTGGGATCAAATGATCAAGTCCAATGGGCCATGTTGGCCCATGCTAAGATGAATAAGTCCAATGAGCCATGTCAATTTGAGCTCAAATGATTAAGTTCAATAGGTTCAAATCCATCATTGGTTGGAAGTGTTAAGGGCAAAAAAATCCACGGCTTGGCCCAGCGCAATACCTTATTGAGAAAAAACCTGACTTGGAGCACACAAAAATCCGCCATGCACGAGTCACACTCCACGCGTCATGCCAAATAAATAATCCGTCATGCTAGGAATCGAGATTAAGATTATAAAATGCATTATCTTTGCAAATCCATGTTAATTATCCCGTCAAGCATAATAATTAAAAGCATGTCAAGCGATATGTCATGCCAAGGATTGAAATAATATTATAAAATACAAGCCCATGCTAAACTAAGAACCGTGTCCTTCTTTAAGGACGATAAAATTAAAGCGCGTCAAGCGACATGCCATGCCAAGCAAGGAATTATTATTTCGCACCCAACCACGCTCCAAGCCTAAGCGGGCCCAAGCTGCTCATATACCTGGGGCTTGCTTGAGTGGGTTGTGGTATGGACGGTAAGGAATCAACATGAGGCCCATTGATGGGCAGAGAAATGAAAAGTCTCGGGTTGCTTGGGAGCCTCGGGACTCAAGCCCATTTCTTATGCCCAAACATGTGGGTGAGCACAAGAGGGAAAAGAAATAGCCCAAATAGCCCCAAATAGCCTATTGACTCAAAGGCCAATGTTTAACAAAATAGCCCACTTATTTAATGAACCATCTTGGCCCATGCAAAACTCTACAATAAGTCACAAAAAACCTCAGCCCTTGCTAGAAAAAATAGAAGTTACGAAGAGAGGGTCAGAGGGCTCATTGAACAAAGCTGCTGGAGGTTCCAGCACATGGTGGGAGCAAGTTCCAAGTAAGAAACATTCAAGGAACCAAGGGATATTAGCCCGCGAGCTACCAAAAGCACCCTTCGAACCAACATATTTATCCCAACTCCTTTTCCCATCAGACTTGGCCATGGAAAAAATAGAAGAAAGCAATAAAAGAGATGGCTGGGAATGGAAGTCTGCTATTGAGATAGCTACGGGAAAAAGGGGCCTTGAGCTTCAAAAACTCTGATCTGGTGCAAATAGATAGAAGAGATTTCATTAAAAATGGCAAAGCCATGAGAGGAGATAGAAAGAATGGAAAAGCTTAGCCAAAATGAGTAGAAGTCATTAGGGTTTCTTGAAAATTGGTGGTTTCCAGCGACTATAAATTGAGGCTTATCCTACCTAACAAATCCAACTCACATATGAAGAGCAAGCTTCCTCTCTTTCTTGCAAAAACCCAGCAACCTCGTGCACTATTCACTTTTTTCTCCATTCTTCTCTTCTAGCAGACAGAGCATCTGTCAAATTGCCGGAAGAACTATATTCTCTATGCCCTCTTTCTTAGCCAAATCTCTCACAAAACTTCCTCTTTCTTACCCAACCACTTCCTTTTCCCTCAAAGCAAGCCTAAATTTCCTCTTAGTGCTAAACTCATGTTGATTTTGCTTTTACGCCACATGCCTCTCATGCCAAGCTCAAAATTTTATCTGTAAGCATGCATAAATTATCTGTAAGTTGTTGTTGTTTTAGTCGGTGAAGGTAACCAAGATGCTTCCTAAGGCTCTACTGCCCTTTCAAAGCATTTTTGGAGCTTAATTTTCGATCTCAGACACAGGGGACAATTTTTTCAGTTTCCTCCTTACGGCAGCACAGCACATTTGTAGCTGCTGGAAGAAAAAAGCCCCTACAGGAAGATTATAGCTAGCTATTATTATTTTATCACTGTTTTGTCAATGGTTTGTTATAAGTTTAGGAGAAGTTTTGGAATATTTAATTCAAATTCCTATATTGTTTCAAAACAAGCATGATGGTTGAGGTGGTAAGTTGATTAAGGCCCCGTTTGGGATTGCTTTTTTTCCCCAAAAACCTGCTTAACTTTAAAGTTAAGCAGTTTAAGGTGTTTGGTAAAAATAAAATATCATGCTTATTTTAAAAGCAATGGTCTTTTAACAGCAGCTTTTAAAAGCAACCTCGGGGTTGCTTTTTAAAGCTGCTTTTAATTGAAGCAGCGCACTCCTTTTAATGAAATTTTTGCAATTCCACAAATACCCTTATTAGGTTAGAAATCTATCCTCACGTATTACTCTCAAATCTGCAAACACCAAAGTTCATCTTCACGTAGCCTCCCAAGTTAGGAGACAACCATTCTCTCAATCTCTCTCAATCTCTTTCACATGGTAGATTCTTCAATCTCTTCAATCTCTCAAACTTTTTATATACGTGTTACTCTTGCTTTTTTATTTTATTTGTATTTTTCTACGTGCTTTATTTTTCTACTGGTTTGCGAGGCCTGCATTGGTTGTCAATGGGCTTTATTTTTCTACTGGGTTTTTATTTTTCTTCGTCTTCTTCTTCATACAAATATTATATGTTTATATAATCTGCATACTTGTAATATAATATTTCTTGGGAAATCTACGTGCCTGAAATCTCTGTTTTTGGGTTTGTGTTATCTGCGTGTTTGTAAACTATGTTTCTATTGTGTTTTGGGCAAGTCCTAATTTGTTTCTTATCAGATTTCTTAGTGTGCAAACAGAGCATGCTGCATGTATTGCACGTTTCACTGAATAATCAAACAAGAAATCACTTTTATGAATTGCGAGAGAATTTTGGCATACTGAAAAGTTATAACAATTCCAAACAAGCTCTATTTTTCTTTTAATTCCCTTTATGATAAACTAGTTTTGCTGCAAAATTTATTTCTTTGACTTCCATTAATCTTTTGTGAATAAATATCAAAACTATAGACCCAAAAAATAAGGGAAAAATATATGGGAGTGTGTTTGAATCCTTTTATCTTGTACAACTTGTGTATTGCTTTTGATGTATATAGTTTTGCCCAAGTTTTCCTATAGGTAATTACTTAGGAGTGTCATTGAACGCACTTTTGGTGTATGGAAGAAAAAGTGAAGCATTTTACAAGACATGCCTAGCTATCCATTCGATAAGCAAGTGAAGATAGTAATTGCAACTATGGCACTTCACAACTATATAAGGAGGCATGCCCAACGTGATATTCATTTTGACAAAGTGAATGACAACCCAAATGCAATGGAGATGGAGGGTGATGCACAAGAAGAATATCATATTACTCAAGGGCCTGGAGCACAAGAACTAGAAACATTAAGGAACAAGATTGCTGCAAGTTTAATGCATGCATCTTCTTAGACATTTTCTTTATTTCCATTTATTTAAGCCTAGTTTCAATTTGTTTTTATTGCTACAATTCAAACCTTAAAAAAATGTTTATTACTTATTCAATATCAAGGATGGTGTATGAACCTACTACCGTGGTGATCTCTTTATCTTTGTTGGAATTTATTCAATACATAATTATCATTGTTGGAGTTTATTCAATTTGAATTTTTCTTTTCTCTAAGCAAAGATTAATATAATTTTTAGGGAGAAAAGTATAAAAGCACTTTACAGTTTTATTTTTTACCAAACAGATTAGTAAAAAGCATTTTCAGCATCATGTCCATTTTAGTCATTATAAATAGTTACAACACTTTTACTGTAAAATTTACCAAACGCTGTGACACTGCTTTTCATACTCACAACACTTTTAAAATTACAGTTTACCAAACGTTTAACTGCTTTACTTTACAACTGATTCTACTTAAAGCACAGCAGAAGCAGCTTTTTTTTAAAACGGCAGCAATCCCAAACTAGGCCTAAGTCTTGGTAGGTTTTAGTCTCCTTGGTCCGGCCCGAGCACTAACCTTTTTAATGTGGGTTTAGGTTTTAGACTATGCTTGGATTCATACTTTTTTATAGATGGACCGACGTGACACGATCCAGTTAATTTAATGGGTCGGCACGACAAAGAACTTTATGTAGACAAAGGTTACCTTTCAAGGGTTCCATATATCACCAACTAGCTTTCAATTTGATGGTACTTATCTTCTCAATATGTTGGAAGAAATTTCAAGTTTGAATTCCATTATCCTAATTAATAATAATAATAATTAAAAAAAGCTTTCATATATCAAAATCTCTTTGCACAAAGACACATTTTTTTTATATATTTTTTTATTCAATTTTTTCAACTTATGGCTTAAAATTAAAAGCATGTAATTGGGAGAATTAACTCCCACTCCATGCATATCTTCTCCTTTAAATTGTGAGGAGCCTACAATATGATGACCAAGCTCTCAAGAAACAATTAGCTAGGGGTGTCATTTGTTCATCATGAGGGAATCATGCTCAAGGAGTTGCACTATCAACACAAAACCTTGGTTCTAATGTTGCGATAGTCATGCCTGTCAGTGGCGGATCCAGGATTCAAAAGTCAGGTAGGCGAAACTTACCTTAAAAACTCAACGGTACGAGTGAATTTTATTGATAAAAATAAAAAGATACACCTAGTCAGGGGGGACGTAATGAGCCTTACCCTCAAATATGCATATCTATACATAAATAAAAGCTTAACAAAAAAAAAAAAACAAGAAGTAAATGCAATGCAACACAAAAACTAAACTATTTTAATCTAAAATTGTACCCTACGAGGCTTAGAAATGTTAAATTCTTCAATTATCTCTTCATTATCGATACTATTAGCAAACTCTCTTTCAATGTGGAGAATCATGCAATCAGCAAGGAATTCATCAGCTATGGTAATGTTCAACTGTAATAAAATCTTTTTGTTGACAAGAACGACGTGTGCCCATCATATAACGAGAACGCATATCAGGAACATTAATACCTAATTAATTTCAACAAAATCCCCAAATTATATTTCATTCCTAATTAAACCCTAGAAAACTCAATTTCAAATTAAAATTAAAACTAAGATGCATACATTTATTTTAGGAATAACCCAATAGAAGAAGATAATTAAAGAGAAGAGATTAAGAAGAATACTTGTTTCCTTGTATATGAGAAGAGAAGAGAAGAGGCTGTCCAGTGTCCACGATTGCACAGCACAGCCAAGACTTGTGTTGAGAAGAAGCTCTCCCGACTCTGTCTGGAATTGCACTGCACTGCCACTATTTGGCTGCTTAAGTTATATTCTTTCTTTTATTAAAGTTTGACTGGGTCATTCATAACATGGGCTGGCTGGTTATAATTTTTTTCAGTTTTTTAAAGTTTGAGTGGGTTTGTGCTGTGGGTTTTATATGGATTGGGTAGGCAAGAGTGTATACCAACACATGGAATGGATATCAATTACATAGCTTATATATAGGTTTTTTTTTAGTGAAATATTTGTGGGTAGGCAGTAGCCTACCCTGCCCTGGCTTAAGATCCGCCCCTGCCTCTTACAACTCCTAAAATCAAAGTTCAATACTCATTCTCTCCATTCCAGATAAGTAATAAGGAGATAATGATCTTGTTTTAATTTTCTCCTTCCTTTGAGGATTGAAAATATTCTTAATTAGAGCATCTTTTTATAGAATGGTTTAAGATTCTCAATCCAAAATTTTATCCTCCTCCAAACAGATGCTTCCAGTCTGATTATGGAAGTAGTGTTTGACTAAGTGTAAGTGGCCAAGTCATCATCAAAACTAACACATCAGTCCTCACCTACTTTGCTGAACTTTTGCCAAGAATTTCCCGTTAGTGTTTGTTTGTGAAGTTCTAATTTACATGCTAAATTTAAAGGACACAAGAAAGCCACGCAATTTCAAACATAGTTGTCCACTATTTCACAAACTTATGAGTTACAACTTGGTTCTTAAAGATGTACATGTATAAACCCAAGAACAAACTAACTTTAAACAATAGAAACTAAAACATTTCTTTCCTCTATGTGAAACAAGGTGTATTTCCTTTAGATGGGACTAGCATTCTATAACAGGTAATCATAACTTCTATTTTTGTTTTTCTTAAATTACAATGGTTCATCCTTTGATGACTTCCCCTCTCAATAGATGAAAAGAATTTCTCTCTCTACTCAAAATCCAACTTCAAAAGAACAATACTTTCTGTGAGTATGGGTAAGTTGCATACCATCCTCCGTTCAGAGACCTCTGAAAGAATTCTGGTTGGTTAACAGAAACGTGAAGGAAACGAGGGCCCTGCTTATGGATTTCCGATTCCTTTCTCACATGTTTTCTGAGAACCAACCAGAGCCTCTATGTATCGAGGCATGACTTCAATTTCTTTATACTAGCTCTCAGAACAACGAGAAACTTTTGTTGTGTCTAGAACGCAGGGACGGGCGTGCCTGCTCAACTGATATTCTTGGGGAGGGCCCAGTACTTTCAATGGTATCTGGTTTAGCATCAGAGGGTCGCGAAAGAAGACTGCACCCAATTCTCCTGGCAACCACACGAGGAGAACTGAGAGAGCTATGTGATTTGTTCACCTTTTTCATCTCTTGCTTTATTTTACTAAACTCTTCTTCGAGTTCACCGACTCTAGATCTCATCTTTTCCATATCCACCTTTAAAACCCGGTTCTCACGCACCATAGTCACCCACCCGTCCCTCTGTATAATCTGGCCAGCCATGTCACCTGGGACAGTCACAGGACCTGCAGGGCCACTCTCAGTTTCCAAGCCATGAAGACAACCAGCTAGAGCAGTTCTCAAATGCATCTGCTCAAAGAACAGGACTTGAAGAACAACTCTAAGTGGCAGCCTTTCATTTTGGGATGCATGGGCACAGGCATCAATAGAGAGTTTCGAGAAGTCAATGATGCTGCAAAGTTCTTCCTTCTCTTTATCTGAGAGCCAAGGGTGTGCCTGAAAAATTGCAGTCAGCATTATAAAACTTCAAAAAAAATTGAACAAATAAGAAAAAGGCAGTTTTTCTCTCAAGAGGTGGTCTAGCAAAATTAAACCTTGAAGTATATATCCAGTGACCTATACAAGCCATCAAACAAAGTCCTTGAAGATTCTGGGAGGGCCTCTGCAAGAGAGCGTATCTTTACTGGTTTTAAAGTCACATCTGAAGCAACCTCCGCAATATAGTTATCTACCAACTTTGCAACTTTTTGTAATGGTCTTGATGATGGTGATGTTTCCATGTCAAATGATGATGGAGAAAATGGTGTGACCTTTGATTCTGACGACATAAAATGATGGATTATCCGTTCAACACAGTCAGTATCATACAACGCGTCAGCATCTGAATATGTAGGAATCAGAAGGCCATCTAGGGTTGCCAACTCCAGTTGCCTTCCTATTCTCCTCTCCAAAGCATCCTTGCAGCTTTCACTGACACCCAAAATTAATGCCACACGAAGTAGACCAAGTAGAAAACGGCAAAATGATTTCCCCTTCTTTCGGGGAAGAAGTTTTTCAACGGATTCTAAAACTACCCTTTGATCAAGGGCAATGGGTGTCAAACTAAAACTTGTAACTGTTCTTGGTATACCATGTTGTCCACCCTGCCATCGTCCCAGACCAGGTAGGTACTTCCTGGTATAGTGCATTACAGCACCCACTAGGTTTTCAGGTCTTATACCCCTTGTTTCCATTGTCTTGATAAGTCTCTCAAACAAACTCACACTGAGGTATGAGATGTCTTCGAACCACCAGTCAGACTCAGAGCTTCGAATTCTAGCTCCGGTGTTAATTCCATTCCATAGGATGCTTCCACCAGGGCTCTGCAAACTACCATACATCATCATAGGCCATCCAAATAAACTAGGATCTGTACATACCATCACAGATAGAGCATTTACACATTTGTTTACTATGTGAAGTTTTTCTGCCCTTTGGATAACAGTCTCACAACTTTGAAGTGCCAAGATACAGTCTTTCCAGTTGTGAAGTATATTCTTATGGAAGAAACTCTCTGACTTTGAGAGCAAGTTGCCTTCTCCATACTCATCTGTCATTTCAAGGTAGTCTGCTGTACAGTAGATCACTACTATGTTTCTTGGAGTCAATTCAACCCGCATACCATAGCAGTATTTAGCTGCAATGAGGAATGTGTCAGGGCCACCGGGGAATTCTTCCAGAAGTGCAGTGAAAATCTTGTCACGTGTGCTTTTAGACTCCTCATACATACGTGCTATCTTCCCAGATTTTGATATGAGAGGAAACTGGACAGTTATGAATTGTCATAAGTGATAAGCCCTATTTAAATTCACTGTGACAGCTATGACAATATTTTCCATTATAAAAATATCCTTAAAAGGAGGAAGACAGGAGAGACAACAACAACAGATAACAATGCAGAAAAATTCAACTAAGAAACATAACATAACAGTTTATCACTAACAGTGAAATGAAGCTATCAACAACATGTCTAGCATTTAATGCTTTAATTTCCAGAATATAATCATCCTTAAAAAGATAGCAGGGGGAAAATAACCACTTAAAACACGGCTTCCATTCGACAAATACCTTCTATTTTTGTCAGGGATACATATATTGAAAGCTTATAGTGCACCACCAACTACCAGGGAAACCAAAAAGCTCATGAAAAATCTAGCATAATCTTAACAAGCCAGTCAACAACTTATTTCTGAAGTTTGGGAATTACCCAAACGTTTTTATCAGTTCCTATCCATTCTAAATCCCCAAAATTCCAAAACCCACCACAGCAAATGATAGGTGCATACCTTGTGAAGATGGAAGCTCACGCCGTCCACCACAACAGTAATATCACTTGGCAATCCCGCTTTGCAAAACCTTGCGGGGCAAAAAAACACAATACATCAATCAGTCTCTCCAACTCTTTCATATATAATTCAATGAAAAAATCAAACTTCATTAAAACAAAAAAGAAAGGTGTATTGAGACTGAATTATAATTGAACTATGGAAGTGAAGGCTGTAATTAAAATATAATCAGACTCTGGCCTCTGGCCTTTAAAGGGCCATAATAACAATAACCCATTTAATTCAATCTCAAAAAGAACAATAACGATGAGAATTAAAGCTTTCAACAATTGGGATTGTATTTCTGTGCTTGGAAGTGTATGCAGAAGAGAGGGAGGGGGGGGGGGGGGGGGGCAAAATTAAAATGTGAAAGTGGGGAAACGGTCTCTCATTCTCTCTCTCTCTCTCTAGCCAAACAGTAGCTTCATTTTGGGTGGAGAACAGAGACCGAGTAACGATTTCTTTAATCAAAAGTGGAAAAAAGAAGAAGAGGTTAAAGATGCCAAGCAACGTAAGTAGGAATCCAAGTCCAGCATAGTCAAACAAACGTCGTGTGCCCAAACACCAACCAGTGCGCCTTTACAGCTATGACCTCCTCTACTCTCTCCCTTCATCAAAGCGCAAAACCCCAACCCCACACTACCACCAAATACCATGGGACCATAAAAAAAAAAACAACACAAATTCAAATTCTATAATCAAAACCCAGAAAAGGATGCACAGATCACGACGCCAAAACAGTCCCAAGTGTGAGAGAAAAGCAAGTGAATTTTAAAATGGGACAAGCACAAGAGGCCGGCATGTGTGGGAACATGGCAATGGAGATCGAAGCGAAAGCATCACTCAGCCGTCGATGACTCGATGGGGCATTAGCCGGCCGAGAAATAATGGGGTTTGGAGACAAAGGTTAATAATAATAATGTGGTTTGTCTGAGGCTTTTTGTCAAACAGCTTCCCTGCAATGATTTTCCCAAACGCGTGGTGTCTGCCTGATCGTGGAAGATTGACTCCATGGTATTTCATTTTCATCCGAGTAACTATGGTTTTGCAGAGTGTTTGTTAGTGTGGGGCATGGGACCCACCCGAAGCACATCATTCTTCTGGTTGTATCAGTGTTGCTGTGAATAAAAAATAAAAAATAATAAAATAATGTATTTTTTTATTTCCTAATGAAATAAAAAAACCTAGAGAACGTCTTTAGGAGTTGTAACTACTTCTACGGGTCCTACATGTGACGTTGGGTAGAAGTGTTTTTTCATTTAGTTTTAAATTTCGACTTACTAGGAGCGACAATTTGCAACAAGGGTTTATGATATAGCCCACTCGAGCCTACTCATAAGATCGTTTTACTCGTGATCCTTCGAAATAAGGTAAATTTAGTTCATCTCAATTTGAAATTTTGAGTTCATCCTGTTTATGTCACGACTTATATAATTCATGTGGTGTGAATGTGTTTTTTTTTTCTTATACTAAACATAGACGTGTTCAAATTTGACTACATATTTGACATTTTATGCACATTGACAAAGGGTGCTCTATTATATATACAGTGTAGATGAATCAAAATTAATAGCCCAAACAAATCGTCATATGAAAGAAACGAAAATTAAAATCGGTTTAAATTGCGTACCAATATTATTATTATTATTACTATATTAATTCCTGAGTTTGACACAGTTGCAGAAAATGTCCATGTGTTGCCAGACATGAAAATGATTGGTACAGCTGGGCTATAGCTAGCTGCCACGGATCATAAAGATTGAATTGAGGGGATTTCCTTTGATGGGAAAACCTCTCTTAAATGGGATTTTTAATGTGGCAATGTTCTCAATTAAATCATTATATCGATATTATTTCAATATTTCGTTGTTCATATTGTTGGTAGTGTTGAAATTGTTGCATATATATATCGATAACAAATAACCCAACAGTCTTGATATGGCAAAATAGAATATTATGTTGATATTGTTGATTTGCTAAAATAATAATCAAGGAAATTCCAGTTGAGAGATCTCTTAAATATGTTTATTAAAAAAATATCTTTGTAGAGTCTATTCCGCATTGTATTTAAATGATCTATTAAATTTTCATGTCTTAATTCATAGATCATATATGCAAAAAAGCACCCATATCAGATGTTTGAGCATGGTTAGAAGGTAGGTAGCTATTCTAGTGTTTATTTAAAAAACTGTGTTGGTCTACTTATTTCATTATCACTTATGTCTTAATGGTTTACGATTTGCTTAATCTTTTTCAATGATGATTTGTGAAAAAATAAACGGGTTTGATCATTCAAAAACTATGCAGAATGGGCCCGCCAAAATATCCCTTAAATAAATTTATTTGAAACACCCTTCAACAAAATGAGACTTCTACAACAATAGTTCTATTTAAGATCCCCAAGCCCAACAAATGCACTCATGCACAAACATTAATTCCACTTGTTCATGAGTAGATTATATGAGCAGGTTGGTTTAATGAGGGTAGGTAGGTGCATATAATGATCATTATCTATATATAGAACCAGAGAGCAGTAATGAGCACTATGAATCCGATAATTTTATTATTACATTTTTATATTTTTTTTATATTTAGTTTTTTAAGAGAAAGTTAATTAAAAAGAGTCTTATTACTTGATTTTTCTTATTTTCTACTAGACTGCGCTTTTGGAATGATTTCGACAAAAACCAAATGTAAAAAGTATAAAAATATAGAAAATAATGCATTTATTAGCATCACAATGTTAGAGTCAGACAGAGTGTACATGATTATACTAATTAGCATGTAAAGTCTAATAAGTAAAGAGAATTAAGTAGATAATATAAGTAATTAGCTGAAATAATTAATTGTATATGGTTGTGTTACTATTATGATGATGACAATTAAGCATGGCATATGTTTATTGCATATACAAATTTTGAGCTGTTGATTTGGTGAGTTTTACATCAATATAAAACCACTTCATCCAACCCCGTGAAAAATGCCCTTTAATTGCAAATCACTGATCTCATGTTCGAACCTTATGACACCTTGTCAATGTGTGAAGAAAAAAAAACCCACATTCTTCAATATCGCTTATATAAAAATAAAAATAAAACAAAAGAACAAAAAAAAGACCCACTTCATCTAGTTGTCTTATTATATGGGCGATCAACTCTAGTTTTTTTAAGACATAAAATAGGTCGAAGAATCAGATAACATTAATTCTAATAGCATGAGAATGATGCAGTCACAAACAACCACCAGAGTACGAAGACATTAGCTAATTATGTAACGCTACCCTCTTGGCATGAGTGGGAATTTATTATTCCCTAGCTAAATATGTTAGAGTTGTTTTAGGATCAATGCAAAAGTGTATTAAGGGTGAATGCGAGAGGTCGGGCACATGATTAAGTCCACTAACCTCTCACTAATCGCAGTACTTGAACCTGAACTGATCCTACATGAGCCCGCATACGGTTTAAATGATAATGCTATAGGTAACTACAAAAAAGATTTAAATATATTCTCACCAAAGAAAAAAAAAATTGGGGAATATATAAGTAAATTGAAAACCATTTTAGCCACAGTGTTGGGCCAAAAACACAGCGCACGCAGTTGTGGACTGTGGTTGCTATATAAATACATTTCGATACGAAAACTGAACAAAAGCGATCGCAAGGCACCCGTGGCCTAATGGATAAGGCGTCTGACTTCTAATCAGGCGATTGTGGGTTCGAGTCCCACCGGGTGTGCTTCTCTATTTTATTTTATGTTTTTAAAATAAATGCCTTCCATTTTTGTAACCCATGAAAATTACTGAACTATCCTCAGCGCCACGTGTTTTGGGTAATATCCTTTTTTTCAATAATTATTTTATTTTTATAAATCATACATAACATTTGTTTGTAAACCTAGGATTGCATAAAAAACTGAATCATATATGTGTCTATGATTGTATCTGTTTATTTTCTTCACAAGGAAAGTAGAAGTTGGAAAGAAAGAAGAAGAAAAAAAGTATCAGAGATTCTGCCAACTACATTTGAAGGGAGAGCGTTCTCTTTCTTTTGTTGATGATTTTCATTTTTTAATCAATTTCTCCTCTCCATCTTAACATACCAAAAGACCTGGGATAATAAATTTTATTTATAAATAACTCTTTTTGAATAAGGGCTATTGCAAGGGCGGAACCATAAATTTTTCAATGGGTGGGCTAGCTCAAGTTATTAGCTTAAAATCTAATGAATTTTTTTTTTTTTACTTACATTTTCTATAGTTTTTCTAGAAATAAAAATATACATTAAATCATGCTAATTGTAAACACAAGGAAAAAAAAAACATAGAGCCATATTATTCACGAAAGGGTGAATTTCATTTAAAATAATGCTTCTCTTTTGGAGACAAATTGATGTTGGGACAAACTTTGACACCAAATACAAATGTGAAAGACCTCTAACTATGCCAATCGGTGTTGAAATTGTGTGTATATATATATATATATATTATACATATATATATATATATATTATACATATATATATATATATTATACATATATATATATATATATATGTATAATATATATATATATATATTATACATATATATATATATATATTATACATATATATATATATATATGTATAATATATATATATATATATTATACATATATATATATATATTATACATATATATATATATATATATGTATAATACAGAGAGCTTCCATTGAGGGATCCCTCAAATAAGCTTATTTGAGGGATCCCTCAATGGAATCTCTATGTATTATACATATATATAATAGTTAAAATATTAGGCTATATGTATATTTAATTTATTTTTTGGCCAAACCTTCCCTGAGCTATAGCCAACGACATCCATTGCCTTAGTTCCGCCCATGAGCTATTGAATTGATACCGACCACACTTCTCCCCACTCTTTTTTATTTTTGAATACAAACGATAGTCTAAACTACAAGGATGTAGATTCACGCACACTATCAAAGTGTCATAATAGTCTAAACTATAAGGATGGAGACTCACACACTACCAAAGTGCCATGAAAGTTAACAC